GCTTGTCGCGGGGGGGGGGGGACACAGTGCCCAGCGCCCGCGGGGGTCGCGGCCCGCCCTGGACGGACAGCGCTGCCCCCTTGGAGGGCTGGGGCAGGGACAGCGGCGGGGGCCCATCTGCCGAGCCGCATCCCGCACATACGCACACACGCTCCCGGGGCTGTCCCACCTGCCGCCCGGAGCGCTGCGACCGCCTCTTTTCTTCCTTCGTTGTTTTGATTCGGGGAGGTGCGGCGAGTTTTGGGGCAGGTTTTTGGGTTGTTTCTTTGGGTTGAGTTTCTTTTTTTTTTTTTTTTTTTTTTTTTTTTTTTTTTTTTTTTTTTTGTCAACAAGTGCCAGCTGGGGGGCCCGGCCCCGGGCCAGGGAAGGCGTGACCTACCCTGCGCAGGGGCCGCCGCTCCAGACCGCCCACCCCCGGCCCTGCCCATCCCCCGGGATGCTCCCGCACGGAAGAGCCATGTCAGCAGGTCAGCAACGCCCCTGCCGTGGGAAGGGTGTCCCGGCTGTCCGGGGGAACCCGCGGATTTTCCTTGGGGATTTTTCGGCTGTGATTCATGTTCTATCCCCCACCTGCCCGCCCCGCTGACTCTTTCCTCCAAAACCCTCGTTTACCTTGGGGGGCGCGCTGAGCCGCCCCTATGCCGCTATCCCCTCCTGCGCCGCCGGGCTCCCTCCTCCGGCAGGGCTCGGGGGTCTCACCTGCCAAAACAACAATAACAATAAAAGAGGGAGGGAAACGTTGAGACGTTGTCCCTTCGTCCTCTCCGGCCCGGTTACCGCGCCGGGACATCAAACCAACCGGGCTGCCCTGAGAATCGGCGGCTGCTGGGGTCTGCCCCGAGAGAGGATTTGGGAAGCAAAAAACGACAACTGGCCCTCATCCTTAGCAGTGCAGGGGGCAGGAAGGGGCGCGGGGATTGCGCGGGCGCGGAGGGACCCGTCGGGGGCCGTACTCACCCGGGCGGCCCCGGGGCTGCGCCTCCTGCTCCGCGCTCGCTGCCCCGATCCATCGATTTGTTCCTGGAAAAACGCGGCGCATTCTTATAGCAGCTACGAGCAATTAATATTGCATTAACCCTATTAAAAAAAAAAAAAAAAAAAGGGGAAAGGGAAAAACCCGCACCCTGGCAAAGCCATCTATTATTAACGCGAGGGTAATTGGAGACCCGAGACGTGGGTGTGTGCGTGTCGTGGGGCAAGGCAGGCAAACACAGGCGTGACAGTGTGGCGGGAAGGAAGGGGAGCCGAGGGTGGCTAATATTTAATTTCAGGTCTGTGGTTTTCTAATTCGAGATTAAAAGCAGTCACGTCTTTGAAGCCAGACACTTGGTGTAAATGTACAGTTAAAATATTCTATTCTACAGTCCCCAGACAGAGCTCTGCTACTCCCAGGCTTCATTAAATTTTAATTATCATCCCAGACTGGAGCAAGGAAAGAGGGGGAAGACTGTCCACCTAATTGCAATTGATAAAGGCAAAGAAGCCGAGATATTTTTCCTCACCGTGCACGCACGGCAGTTGTTTTTGTTGTTGTTGTTTTAATGCGGGCAAAGCCCGGCGAGTGCAGCGTGAGCATCTCCACCTATAGATCTGCTGTTTACAAAAGATGCACGTGAAGGAAAGTCGGGAAGTGGTGCTATAGATGGGTGTTGGGGGGAAGGGGGGGTATATTAGCTCTTGGAGAATCTGGCGAAAGATCAACGGAAGATACAGGGACCCTCATTAGAGCTCGTCAGCTTATTGTCTCCCAAAACAAAGCCCGACAGTGCCTCAGCCTTTCCTTGCCCGGGCAGCGGAGGGGCTACCCTTGCGCCCACCCCTGTTCTGTCGGATCCCAACACCTCTGCACCCCCACATGCCACATGACCCCCCGGCTCTTCGTGCCTTTTCGTTTGTTAATAATGTGCCAGCATGGGACAGGCAGGTACTGGAAGAAGTCGAGTAACTGCCCCAGGTTTTTAATTTGGGAAAATAGCGATCTATCTCCGGGCAGTAAAAGGTAAAAAATAAAACCCGCCGCGTTTGCTTTCTAAGCAGCTTCCTATTATCACATCGCCACTTAATTTTATTTCCATTCTCTCCAAGTTAAATAGAAAGCCGAGCTCACAGGGGAGCTGCCATGTGCCTACAGACTGGGGATGTCAAGCAGAGAGACTCACTGTGCAAAGTTAATTTCAATTCCCGAGGAGGATTTCACATTCTCGCTCGCTCTGACCCACAGTAATTAGCTGAGATAACTAATGATTACTTACTTATTCCTTGTAATTATCTGGATTTAATAATTCGCTGTGTAATTTATTAATTCGCCCGTAATAGCCTTTAAGTGAATGGCTCATTTAAGAGGGCGAAGCGGCGGTTCAGGGGCTGTTCGCCTCTTGCTGCCTGTGCCTACTGACGTTCTTGGGGGACTCTCTGCTGCTTTCAGGGGTCCTACTGGCCCCTGCCCCCGCCGGGTTGGCTCACCCCGGCCCCCTGATCCACAGCTTTCCTACTTCTTTCTGCCCCACCTCCCCTCTTTAGAACGACCCCCGCGGAGGTTGCGCGGCAGCCCAGCCCACAGGGAGGGGGCAGGATGGGGGTCTCGGCGGGGCGCGCAGGGGTGCGAAGGAGGACAGCGCCACCCCTTCCCAAAAAAGCTGGCAGCCCCGGCCGCGGCTGCACGCTACGCGCCCTGCGGGCCCGCGGGGCTGAACCGCAACGCTGCGGTGGCAACGACAGCGACAAGGGCCGGCCCGGGACCGCGGGGAGAGTGGGGGTCGTGTGGATACCGACGGCGACACAGCACCTGTGCCTGCCGGATCCTTGGACACGAGGCCCTGCCTCCGCGCCCGCGGAGCCGCTGGCATCCTCGCCAGCTTTGAAGATGCAGCTGGAGCTGGTGGCTGGGCGGAAATATGAATATTTAATAGCGGCTCGTGTATGAACTCCCTCCCCACCCTCACCCACCGCCGTCGGTTTCTGTTTTGTTTTGTTTTGTTTTCCGTCTTTTGTGAGCGCCACGCCGGGAAATTACTCTTTTCTTCCCTTTTATTTTTGTTTTTTATTTATTTATTTATTTATTTTCGCGCGTGGTGCGTGCGTGGCACCTTTGCCTCCCTCTTTGCGCTGGGAGACAGAGCGGCTGGGGGAATGGGAGCTCTGCCGGGGCACCCCCACACACCCCGGTCCGCCCCCTCCCCACTCACAATCGCAGCCGCTCACCCGCGGGGCGCAGAGCGGAGCTGTCCGTGGTGCTGTCGCCGCACCACCGGCGCTCCCCGGGCCTCCCCCCACCCCCGGGCCGCCCCTCTGCGGTGTCTGGGGGCAAACCTCCCCCTGGCCGGAGGCGGCGTTGAGCTCGGGCAGATGCTGGCGGCGGAAAGCAAGAAGCAGCCAAACGCCCTTTTTTTTTTTTTTTTTTTTTCTTTTTGGCCAATAAAACGTTACATCCTTTTTTTTTTTTTTTTTTTAATGAAAGACAATTTAACAACATTTAAAAATAACTTAGTACATTACTAGGATAAATAAACCTCCTATTAACAAAGCAAAACAAAAAAACCTCAAACAAAACCCAACGAAATCATGTACAGAACTTAAGACTTCAAACAGTCTCGGATAGAACAGCGATACAGCGAAATCTGTAAGAATATATCTATATGTGCGTCAACGCCAATGAAATATTTACAACATGTACAGGTACCCAACCGAGTACCCTCAGTTTATTGTCGTTGTTCCAAAAAGAAATGTACCAAATCAGTTCTGAATTTACAAGCAGTGCAGCTCACTCGCTCGCTCCCCTTTCCTACAATTTTTAATTTGGCTTTTCTACAAACAGACTTCCAAAAAGGGACTTTTCTCCGTGGAAAAGTGTTGCTATTAAAGGTAATAAATAACCGACTGACTAAATAAATAAATAAATAAATAAATAAATAAGCAATCGGATAGATAAATAAATAACCGAGCCGGTCTGAATGCCTTCGCGATACAGCTTTGAAATCGAGAAAGACGGATATTGTGCTGGCAAGAAACCCGAAGCGACAATCCCCCCGCCCCACTCTGTCACCTACGCGGCCACGTCCTTTCTCGCTTCGGGAGCAGCGTGTGGTGGGGACAATATGGGAATCCCCATTAAATATGTAACGCGATAAACAAATACCTCGGACAGTGAATCAGGCTACACAAATAATGTAAAACATCTACTATAGGGTGCCGACGCCGTACGAATAGGAATACTCGCCAGAGAAATACCTTAGGTTCAGGTGGCAATTTACAGATGGCCAAAAGGGACGTTCAGAAGAAAAGCTCACGTTCATAAATCCTACCAACACAAAATATTTGATTCTCACTAACAATTTTTTTTTACTTTTATCAAGACTTAGATTAAAGAGGTGTAATTAATTAGAATGAGCACAAAATGAAGTTGCTAGAGAGATAAATTAATAATTTACAAGGGGTTGTTTGGCAGTAATCTAATAATAGCTTTTGAAGACCAGTGAACACAGCAGGATCAGCTCTTTCCCTAAGCGTTATAACTTCAGAGAAGGAAAAGGATAATAACCACAGTAAAAATATATATATATTTATATATTTATAATACGCAGTGTAAATGCAGAAAAACCTGCCATCTGTTTTTTTTTTTAAATCATTATTATTATTATTATTATTTAAATCAAAATACTTTTGAGACGTCTCTCGCGGCGCGAAGCCTCAACTCTAGGTTCAAGTTTGGGTCCCGAGAAAGCCATGACATCGTGGCTACCCTGCTGCCACCCAGGCGAGGTCTGTTAGGAATAAAAACCAGCGGTACTTGCCGGGGCGGGTCCGGACGCTGCTCCGTGGGGAAGTTCCCCCCGAAAGTTGAGCGCGGGGCGGGCGGTGGGGTGGGCTGGTGTTGTTTGTTTGGTTTGTTGGTTTGTTTGGGGTTTTTTCCTCCTTTCCTTTTAGCTGTTGTTGTTGTTGTTTAATTAATTTTTTGTTGATGACGGTGATGCTGATGCTGTCGATGCTCCTCCGCGGCCAGCTCAGATGCCCGCCGAGTACTTCATGCGCTTCTGCTTCTGGCGCTGGTTGCAGAACCAGACGCGGACCACGTTCTTCTTGAGGTCCAGTTTTTCGGCGATGGCGGCGATCTTCTCGGAGGAGGGCCGGGGCTGGAGGGCGAAATAAGCCTCCAGCGACCGCTTCTCTGGGGCGGCGATGGAGGTCCGCTTGCGCTTCTTCTCCGCTCCGCTGAAGAGCTCGGGCTTGGCCAGCTTCTCGCGGTGGGACTTCTCGGCCTCTTCCAGCCACGCCTGCAGGATGGGTTTGAGGGCGATCATGTTGTTGTGGGAGAGGGTGAGGGACTCGAAGCGGCAGATGGTGCTCTGGCTGAGGGAGCCCACCCCAGGGATCTTCAGGTTGGCCAGCGCCGAGCCCACGTCGGCCTGGGTCACCCCCAGCTTGATGCGGCGCTGCTTGAAGCGCTCGGCGAAGGCCTCCAAGTCGCGGGGGTCGGCGTCCACGTCGCTCATGCAGCCCATGTGGGCCGGCAGCCCGTGGGCGTGGGCCATGCCCAGGGCCGCCGGGTGCATGGGGTTCATGCTGGCCATGTGCGGAGCGTGGCCCGGCGTGGAGACTACGGCGCCGTCGGGGGCCGCCATGGCCCCCAGCGCCAGCCCCGGCGTCAGGTGCTCCAAGAGTTCCCCCTCCAGCGCCTGGTGGGGCTGGTGGTGGTGATGGTGGTGATGGTGGTGGTGGTGGTGGGTGCCCGACAGGGCGGACGGGTGGGAGATGGGCACGGAGGAGGAGGAGGCGGCCGAGGTGCAGGGGATGGTGTTCATGGTGTGGTACGTAGCGTCCGGCTTGAAGGGGCTGTGGTGCGGCGGGTGGTGATGGTGGCTCTTGCTCGGGGAGACGATGTCCACGGCTGCCAGGGCTTCGGCGCGGGCCAGCAGGCTCTCGTCCAGACCGCCGAATATATTGCTCTGCAATTGCAAATAGAAGGCACACATAACGCTCAGCAGGGAATTCGCCTCCCCGCGCACTTCGCCGTGCCACTAAAACCTTCCCAGCATGTTAAAAGAGAAATCCTGGAGAAGGGAGGGGGTGGGGGGAGGAGAGGAGAAGAGGGAGCGAGCGGGGCGAGGGAGCGGGCACGGCGCGCAGCCGCTCGCACAGAGGAGCCGCGGCAGGCGGGCGGGCGGGCGGACGGACGGACGGACACACACGCACCAGCCGCACGCAGCATCCCAGGTCATAAAAATTAATACGAGCGGCAAGAGCCGCCGCATGCATAAGTTGGGCTAGAGCCCGGCGGCGCCGGGTGATTTGCTGCACGGCCATGAAAAAATGATCAGGCGGATCCGGGGGGCCGCCGAGGGGCTCCCCTTAAAGCGGGGCGGTGGGCGGCGGGCACCTACCGGAGGGGCGGGCAGGCAGGCCCGCCGCATCGCCTCCGCGCCGCCGCCGCTGCCGGAGCCCGAGCCGGAGCCGGAGCCGCCGCTGCCACCGGGGCCGGAGCCGGAGCCGCGTCCGGCGGAGCCGCCGGTGCCGGTGCTGCTGGGGGAGCTGGCGGCGGGGGCGGCGGCGCCGGCGGAGGGGCAGGGCGAGGCGCTGTGCAGGGCCGAGTACTTGGTTTCGTGGAGGCCGCCGGCGCTGCCGCCGCCGTGGGGGAGGCCGAAAGGCTGCTTGCTGCTCAGGGACATCATCATCGTGCTCGCCGCTGCCGCGGCCCGGCCCGCCGGCAGCCGGCCGCCGCAGGAGGGCAGGGGCGTGGGGCCGGGGGCCCGGACCCCCCGGAAAAGCCACAGGAGCCCTGCGCCCCCACCCTCCGAAAAATTAAAAAAAAAAAAAATTAAAAAGAAATTCCCACTCGGCCCCCCGCCCCAGCCAGCTCCCCGAGTCCCGCCGGGGACAAGAGGGAGAGGCGGCTCTGGCAAGCCGGGGATGTGCGGGGGATGCGCGGGATGCCTCCCGCCCGGCCGCCCTCCACCCGGGCGCTCGCCGCCGTCCGCCGTCGCCTCCGCTCCGGCGCCGGCCCTCGCCTCTCGCGAAGTGCCCTCCCCACCGCCGCGCCGGTGGGTTTTACTCTCTCCCCTCCCTCCCCTCCCCTCTCGCCTGTCACTACAGCCCAACTCCTCGGGAAGGGCCCTCCGCGCCTGCCTCCTCGGCCCTGGCCCCCTCCTCCGCCGCTCCCTGCCCGCCCCCCGCCGCTCCCACGCCCACGCGTGCTCCCGTACTCACCGCCGCGCCGCGCCCCGCCGCCTCCCGGAAAGGGGAGGGAAAAATCCAAAAAAAAGAAAAAAAAAAAAAGGGAGGGGAAAGCGACACCCCCCTCTCCTCCCGCCACCTGAAATCCACGCTCCACGAAGGAAAAAAAAAAAAAAAAAAAGGGAAAAGTCCCGCGTCCGGGCTCACCAGGAACCCACAGCCAGAGTGTCCCGCCGCTGCCCTGGCATCGCTCTGGGGGGAGCGGCAGAGGCGGCGAAATGCGCTGAGAGCCGGGCACTGTGCTGGGCAGCGGAGGGAAAGGCCTGGAGCGGAGGCGGGGTTTGCCCCCACCGGCGTCCCCCATCGGCGGGGAGCCGGAGGGATCCTCCCGCAAAAGCGCACCGCTATCCCACCAACTTCCCCCACCTCTCTATTATAAAAAGAAGAAAAGGAAGAGAAAAAAAAATTAAAAAGAGAAAGAAATCTGTGGAAGTCAGTTTTCCCGAATGTGGCCGAGTTTATTTCCATGAATTTCACTTTGCAGCAGGAAGGTTAAAATAAGTGCTTAGGTGTTTAATTTCTCACCTAAACAGCAGACTTGGTAATTTTAAGGGAAATAAAAAAAATTACATTGTATCAGCTCTCACTGTCGCCAGCTCGGAGAAATGAAATAAATCAAAGTTAAAAGCTTGAGTATCATTTAATTATGGTGCGAATACCGCTTGGAAAGAAGTAGAACAACATCTCTAAACAAATTATGGCCGGGCCAGGAAGGAATTATTAGATTGAAATTTCATTTAGGCTCGGGAGACACAGCGCTTCAATATGTAATCTGTTATGCCTCATCTGATTTGTATGCTTAATTCAGCTTGACGAATTTATTAGTTTTCATAATAGTAAAAAAATTGAGCAGCACTATGGGCTAATGCATTGTGTGTACTATAAATTGTATGTCACCGTTGAAAGGCTGAAGTCTATAGAAATCTTTTATTAATGACAACATAGGAAAGAGGATTTTCTTGCAAGCCTTTAAGGAGTTCATGCCAAACCTCCGCGCTTCGCGTCTCGGTAGGCTATTAACATATCGTCATACTAATTAGGCTACTTCATGAGTGATATAATTTCAAACTTTAAATTATGTTCTAATTAACAAGGGTTGTCCAATTTGCTTAATCTTCAAAAGGCTTTTGGCTTGTCTAATTAGTCTAAAGCATCGAGCATCTCCAACGCCCAAGAAAAGAGCCATCAATAGTATTTTGCGCGTTTTGAGGCGGTCGCGGGCAGAGCCCACGCGGGGCGCGGCCCACCCGTGGCTGGCAGGGCTGGCAGGAAGGACATCTGTCCCCCCGCCTCCCTCCGCCAGGGTCCCCGCAGCGCTCCCGGCCGCTCCTGCGCCCCCGCCTCCCCGGCAGCGGCCGCAGCCCTGCGCGCTCCAGCGCGGGCGTGCCAGGAGGTGTGCGGGAGAACGAAGGAAAGGTCCCACTTCCTGGGCGAAAAAAAAAAAAAAATAGGAGAAGAAGAAGAAGAAGTAGAAAATACCTCGTTGGCGCGGGGAGGTCCGAGGGCAGCCAGCCTGCCGGGTGCGCGGAGCCGCGGAAGGGGCTCTGCCCGCCCCGCTCTCCGGCTCAACTTTGGTGGAGAGAAACGCGAGGAGTAACCCCTCTCCACTCCCCCCCAAGTGCCTCCCCGCTATACATTTAACCCCTCCCGCACTGAGTTTAATTACTCGCAATAGTTGTTCTAATGTATGCTGTCACACGGGAGAATTGAGAACGCATATCGTTAATATGAATTAATCTTGATTTTAATAGTAACTGACAACCGATCTCCAAAACGCTGAACGCTCCTCGCCACTCCGATCGGCCGCCACCGGGATGCGGGGCGGCGCGGCCACACTGCTGGGCAAACTTTCCTCTGTGTAGGGCCCAGGGTTGGCCCCTGCGGGCCCCGGGGGTCCCTGCGGTGGCTCTGCGCGCTGCAGGGACTCGCCTGGGCTCTGGCCGTGCTGCCGCTGTGCCCGCTGCCGGCAGCGCCTTGCCCGCGGCACTGCCTCCCAGCAAACCCTGCCTTCCTTCCCCTTTCCCCCTTTTTTTTTCTTTTTTTTTTTTTTTTAATATATATTTTGTTTATTTATTTGCGTTTGGGTATTGGTTTTTTTTTTCTTACAGCCACCGCCCGGTGTCGTGGGGGATGCCGGGGGGAAGTCGCAGCTGACGCGGAGCCCCCGCCGCCCCCCGGCACCTCGACGGCCCCACGGGCCCCGCAGCCGGCTCTGCGCACCAGTGGGCTGCCTAAATAAAAGGAGAGCCCCCCCCTCCAACTTACCCACGCCCACACCCTGACCCACGCAGACATCTGGGGAGAAATCAGTGTCGCCTCTCATGTATCCATGTTCTGATTTACGATTAAAATTTAAAGACGCGCATTCATATTTTACCGAACCTAATGCGCCCTATGAATTTTTAATCCATTAAGATGCGGGCTACACTTTGAGCAAACTCTACCTTTGTTCTGAGGGCAGGGCAGCGCTGGTCCCGGCCCCGCCGTAGGGGTGGCCTCTGTGCCCCGCTGCACTCCCGGCCCCCGCCGCCTGCAGGCCGCTCCCCCGGGGCTCCGGGGATGGGGGGGCGACCTGGCTCCGCCGCCGCGGAGGCACCGCGGGTGCAGACATCTGCAGCTGCATTCCGCGGAGCCGAGGCACCACCGCACCGGGACACCCTGTCGGGGCAGCCCCGCACCGGGCGGTGCCTCCGCACCCGGCGGAGCACCCCCACTCCCTGCCAGCCCGGCATCGCCTCCCGCACCGGTTTCTTCTCCCCCTCTGCCCGCTCCGAATCCGGGGCCGCTCTGCAGCCGCGAACCGAGTCAAGTCACGAAGTCAAACTTCAAGCCCGGGAACGATCAATGAAGAGTTTTGCCGTTCGTGGTGCCTCGTGCTTCCTGGCACTAAAATAAATGCAAGAAATCGAAACTTAATTACTTGAAAGAAATCCAGAAATCCCTCTGCATAATTTATCCAGGCATTTTTTTCGTGGCGTTTGTGTTGAACGCGCGCGTTTGACTCCGCACGCTCCTCTCTCCCTCCCCAGCGCCGCCCCCCTCGGCAGGCGCAGGGAGGCGGGCGGGCGAGGACGCCCCGGCGGAGCCCCGCGTCCACCGCATCCCCCGCACCCCCGCACCCCACCCGGCCGAGGGGCGAGGGGAGAAGGGCGGGGGGGATCTCCTCAGAAGACCGCGTTCTTGCCTCCGATGAACACTCCCTCCTTTCCCCAGCTGAGAGCACCCCCGGGGCAGGGCTGTGGGCAGGATGGCATGCGGGAACCTCTCCTCCCCTCCTGCGAGGTCTGAGCCCTGAGCGAGGCACTCGGCAATGCAGCCTCCTCATTTGCCATCTAGCCTGGCTGATGAGAGCCTTGCCTGGTGAACCTTTTGCTGAATTCATTAGGACTGTGGGTCTGCTGGCTCGGGAGCAAACTTTATCATAGATACCTCATCGAGAAGTTGAAGTAATGTTATGAAAGAATGAAAAATACATTTGGGAGCTGCCTGGAAACTGAAGTACATTTTGATTTAACTTACATTAACAGAAACCTAATGTAGAAGTGAAAGGATCTAACAAAACCATTAATAATTTAAAAATAATTACAGATAGTCTGTCCTTACTATTCATAACCACTCAACATTTTAGACAAAGAAAGCTGAATATTCTTCGTGGGAGAAAGATGTGAACAGACTGCTAAGCAGGAGCTGTCCAGCTCACACTGCCTCTTCTCTGTTCACATACATTGCACATGCCCCACAGTGCCCAGGACAACATCCTAGAACTGCTTTTCCAAAAAGGAGGGTGGAAGTGGAGGCAGACCCTATCTTTGCACAGGGCTTTTTGGTGGCCATACAGCACAGATTTCAAACTCTCCTCTTTGCTGGAGCTGCTGTTTGAGATGGGCCCAGTGTGGTAGTGGAGACCAAGAACATCTCCTCAGGTCCTCCCTAGGCAGCCTCTTCTCTGCAGCTTTAGAGGCCTTGGGAAAGACCTTTTCCATCCGTAGCCTCAGCTAACACCAGTGGCACTGGTGACTCTCCTGTCCCATGCTGTGCCGTGCCATTTAGCTGATATCAGCCAATATCACCTGCTTGGCTCTGTACAAAAGTTATTTTTAATGCATTCATTTTAATTCAAGTTTCCATTGTATGCTTTATAGCTGAAGGGTCTTGAGCACCCTGCAGGGCTGTGATTTTCTGCCTATGTTTCTGTTCGTTTGTGGGTTGGGGTTTTTTGAGATATACCTGCTGCCCAAACACTGTAAAATCAAAGCAGCTGGATATGCAGCAAACTCCACTGCTCTTCCTTACAGGTCAAGATAAAATCGTAAAGAAGGAAATTCACAGACATAAAGTGGTTTCTAAAGGAAAAGAAATATTGGGTAATACAAAGCAGATAAGAAATTCAGATCTACCTCTCACAGGAACCCATCTTACAAATAGCCTCACAGTTGGGATC